AATTGCACTGCAGCACCACAACCACTTTTGCAGTCTAGACGGGCAACCATAAAACTTCATATTCTAGCCCAAATAAATGACAAATACCCCGACTTGCTGTAGCTATTCATTCCACATGCTCATTTTTCTTGGTACTGAACCCAGCCATGGATGAATCACAATGCACACATGCTCAGAGGACCGGCAGCCACAAGATCCTCTCTGCTCCAGCTCTCCCGCCCCCTCCAGTATACCTGCCTGCACATCACTGGGGGGGCTTTAGAGAAGACTTACTGGATTTTAGCAAAGCCATGGGTTCAACAGACACTGTTGGCTCCTCCAGTGCAGCGGAGGAGCACATACTTGTAACACTGCCTTAGTAGCTACCCAATGCAGTCCTGACATACCTATAGAACAAGAATGTTTTCCAACAACTTTTCTACAATACCCAGTAAAAGAAACGGGGAAAATAAAAACAGGAACTGATCTACATGCCACCCCTTCAGTAAATAGTTAGTACATATACTGTAGTTAGTAGCAGTACATGTACAGTGACAGAACAGTATGTAGATCCTACATAAAATGAAAAAATGAATTTTTCTTTTCTTCTCCAGTTCTCCAATAACATCAGCAGCAGAGCAGAACGTTGGTCTTCATTTAGTCATTACAGCTCTCCTTTACCTTCTTTCCCTGAAAAAATTGCATAAGCTCAACTACTCTTTAAAAAAAATCCTAAACTATCCTGTTTGCCTGAGACTTCAAGGAGATTGAAAATATTTTCACAGAGAAACTAAAATCAATCATAGAGACTTTTTCAGCAAAGACTACTTCTAAGCTTCAGGGCATCCTGCACAGCTGAACAGAAACCATGGTTAGAATTCAGAAGTTGAGACTTTTTCATTTATTTTTATGCATTACTATTCTGCCACAGACCTCACTGCTGGAGACAGTCCCATTGAAATGCTTTATACCATGTTGTTATCACACGCTGGTGACAAACTTGGAAACAGCTATAGCCATTTTTTTAATGTAATCTGATGAATGCTGCCATATCTTTGTTTACAATGAGTTATTGTTACAGAGCTCAGTTAGCAGAATCTTACTCAGAAGCAAAAACAATGTGACAGCTAAAAGCAATAGAAAACTGTCCGCCAAAGAGCACCCTTCTCCAGCCCCAGGCAGCCGGTCACTCTTTATAAACCTAAATCTAGTAGATCTCACACCTTAGCCAATTAACTTTACAGAAAGTAAAATAAATTAACAGCTTAAGAGCTGCCACAGAGAGGTGACAGAGTGACAACTGCTTCATATTACGACAGCAGTCCAAGACACCTTTCAGCTGAAGGTGGACATTAGCTGAACCACAAAGTTACATTTTAGGCCCAAGAAAGGCATCCCACTCCACGCTGCAGCAGGTTGACAACACAGCAGAGCCAACCCATGAGCTGCCAGCTACGCGTGGTGCCACCAGGTACCACCTCCCCTCAGCCGAGGGCTCCCACGCTTCCCTCCCACTACCTGTCACGCTTCTCCTACCCTCTAAGGAGACAATTTAGACAGAAACCCACCAAAACAGCTGGGGTGAGCAAGAAGGCTGTAAATGAATATAATCCATGATGACACATAAAAATCAAAATAATTACTGTTGGCAAAACTCTCCCACAGCCCTGCAGCCCTCTCTCTGATGGGCATCTCTGAACCAGTTCACCACGGGCTTGCAGGCACCAGCCTGAGGGTGGGAGGGATGCAGGGCTGTGGCGCAGCACCAAGAGGAGAGGGGGGCTGAACAGGATTGGCTGTACTATTTCCCTCCTTCAGGTTGTTTTGATCAGGACCCTAAGACAGGAGAGAACTTGGCAAAGCTAAAGCCAGACACCCATGCTGTGCTCCTGTCTCGGCCAGGGCATGAGGCGAGAGTCCGAGCGCTCAGTCCAAGTTCCCGGACTCCTTGTTCCCATTCAGAAGCACGCTCTTTCACTTCGAGGGATGCATCTGAAAAAGCAGGTGGCCAGAATTCATTGAGCCCTCTGACGACCGTTGTGTTGGAAATGCTCAAATGACTGTCCTACCTGAGACAATAAATGAGATTCAATAACCTCTTTGCTCCTGGTGATGATATTCAAAAGGTACTGGAATCCCAGCAAATGTGAAATAACTCAGAGTTTTATCAAAAGAGTAAATCAATACCTATTTCTGTGCAAGTGCACTGGCTGTGCAGGTTAACTCATAACATAGATTTTGTTTTGTTTTGTTTTTTTACTGTATACAGTAATTGTATACTCAAGTAAAGTGCTATATAAGCATTTACTAAATCAATAACCAAAACAATTTTCTAAATTACATATAAAATGGTTTCTTTCATCCATTTATTCTCATAAAAATTTCAATGTGAAAGCCAAAAGAAAACAGCTGCATAAAGTATTTTCAACTGCAAGAGACATGCAAGAAGGTATTTCTGCCTGTGCTGGAGGGCACAATCTGTAATAACATTCTGCCTTCCAGATAATGACAAAAGGCATTAAAAGGACAACTTGCTCTCTAATAAGCTCGCCTGACTGGTTGAGCATGCACATACATAGATAGCACAGTTTTGCCAACTATAATTTTAATTAATTTTTACATTTCGTTCTAAATTACATTAATTTATGGCCTTCCTGAAAGACATTTAGCAGACAGCTAATTAAATTCAAGCCATTAGATTTTGATTAGAGATGTTTTAAAAAAAATGTCAGAACAATTCACACATTTTTTTGAACACTACATGCTCGTTAGCAGCTAGAGCAACCAACAAGTGCTTATAGAAATGGACTAAGCAGCACGATTCAAACCCGAAAACAAGTACATAATATAAAGTTTCATACTTCAAAGCCGAAGATTCTGGGAATGCCCCCTCCTCAGGCCAAGTCCAGAAAACCACCATGCACCAGTGCTTGCCATAAAAACAAAATCAAAGCCCAACTAACAGTGAATATCCTGACACACAGTTTAAAAGGTTGAGTTGAGCTTAATCCTCATTAAATTCTAATAAAATCACAGTGCCTTCCTGACCAAACAGCGAAACAAATTAAAGGTCCAGATGGAGCCTCCCTTAATAAGGCGAGCGGGATGCTCTGGAGAGCCGGGCACTGCTCCGGCACAGGGCCACCCAACCAGCCCACACCACTGCTCAGCGAGCAGCCTCCGCGCAGGAAAATGATGCGTTGTTATTTCAAAATTATTGGGTTTTTTCCCACTTCCAACAGAAAACAGTTATTTCTAAATACCAGCCTCAGTGGGGCCAATACTCCATGAGTTAAAAGCAGTATCGGTGCCCTTTGATATGGTGATTGGTTCCACTATCGGGTAAAGAGGTTCATAAATATTAACCATGGCACATTTGCTTATGTCACCCACAGGCACAATCTTCCCTCTGAAAACCGGGAACAGAACCCGTACAAATCCTCCCTGTGTCACTTTTTGATCATCGGATATAAAATGACCACGGAAGTTACTTGAGCGAGGAGAGCGTATCAGGCAAAGAGCCAAACTACCAAAGTGTACTGTTAATTACCGTGCACCAGTTTGGTTTGGACAGGTGCCCAAAATGCTGGAGTTGACATTTCAAAAACCTGAAAGGTTAGGATCACACTCAGAAGTATTTAAATGAGTCAATTTTTCCAGAAAATTGAGAACTATTCACTATTATTACAGATTTCACAGGAGTGCTGTAAAAATAAATTAATCTAATTTTTAGAGGCACGGATTTATGCTTCTACAAAAACTGGAGTGAGTCCGGTCCCAAACCGCCCGCACAGCGGCGGCGGTGCAGAAAGCTAACACAAGAGCACGGCAGGTAGGCACCACATGCAACCTCACCGCAAAGTGAGCGGTCAGGGCCATATCACCCTTATAATCTGCAGAAAACATACAGGAATGGACAGGCTTTACCATTCTTACGTTTGGATGCCTTTTCAGTCCACGCTTTTAATCGGGATGACTTCATACTACATGCAATCCGTCCTCCAAATCATTCAGAAAGTGGGATGGCAAAGTATTTTTTCGTAAAGAAGCCGATGACAATTTGCCTCAGCCTTAACAAAACTGAGGAGAACGCAGCCTGCCAAGTTTTCTGGCATATATCTGGATAAACAAGCAGTAAATATTTCTGATCACACGGCAGAGCTCGGCGCAGAGGAACCTGGCGCTCGGGGAGCCGGGCGGACTGCCGGGGCTCACCGAGGGATGCGCAGCCACCGGGAAGGCGAGGACACACACACACACACACCCCCCCCACACACACACACACACACACCCCCCCACACACACACACCCCCACACACCCCCACACACACACACACCCCCACACACACACCCACACCCACACACACACACACACACACACACCCGCCGCCTCGGACGTTTCCGCGGCCACCGCCACCGCTCCCAAACTTTTAAGGCGTCCGAGCCGGCCCCGCGGAGCCGGGCCGGGACCACGGGCAGAGCTGCTCCGCCGCTTCCCAGGGCAGCGCGGCGCCCGGCCGGGGTCCCTCCCACCCCCGCGGCAAAAGGGAAGGGCGAAAAATAAAAGAATAATGGTTTTTAAAATTTTTAATTAATAAATAAATAAAACCACCTACCAAAACCAACAGCCCAAACCCAAGCAACTCACTCTGGGGCAGCGCAAGCCCACGGCGAGGGAAGAACAAAGGAGGCAAGTGCAGCCGGAGCTCTCGCAACAGATGGTTTGAAGCTGACCAGATTTCGCGCTGGCATCCCCCCCCCCTCCCTCCTTCCCTCCCGCCGCGGCGCGGCCAGTGTTTGCACGCACGCACCGGCCCGGTCGGCACCGCATCGCCCCCGGCCGCCGCCGCGGCGCAGGGCAGCCCCCGGCCCCGGCACACCCCACCGGCCGCCCGGCCCCGGCACCCCACCGCCCGCAGGTGCGCTCCCCCCGGCCCCGCCGCAGGGCGGGCGGGCGGGCGGCTGTCAGCACCCTTGCCCCGTCCCACCCTCTCCCCTTCACCCTTCCCGCCGCCGCTCACCCAAACTCCCGGCGAAACCGTCCATTTTGTGCGGGGGGAGGTCGGTGCCGCAGCCCGAGGCGAAGCCGCCGTCGCCGGCCGGGACAGGTTCATTCACTCGCGGAGCGGCGGCAGGCAGCGGCGGCGCCGCAGCCCGGCGCTCATGAGCCGCCCGGGGCAGCGGCTGCGGCGGCTCCCCGCGCTCGGCGGCGTCGGGAGGCGGCTCCGGCGGCTCCTCCTCCTCCTCCACCTCCTCCTCCTGCTGCTGCTGCTGCTGCTGCGGGGCCGACGGCAGCGCTGCCCGGCTCCGTCCGTGCGCCGCGACCCCAGCACGGCAGCCAGTGCCGAGCTCCTCCCGCCGCCGCCAGCGCCGCCCCAGCGCCCCGTGCTGTCGTGCTTCCGACTCCGCCCGCCCTGGCAGCCGCCGCTTCCCCTGCGGGCGGCCCGGCACCGGCCCCGGCCCCGGCCCCGGGCAGCCCCCAGCCGCCACAGCCCGGGCTGCTGCCCGCCCGCCGCAAAGGGCCTCCGCGGAAGTGGGGGGCGTGGGGGGCGGACGGGGGGCTGCCCGCCGCCGGGGGGGTGACGCTGCCCCGTCTTTGCTAGCACACCTTCGCCGGGATCAGCCAGTGAGGAGTAACGTCTCGCTTTGACGTTCAGAAGTCGATACTCTCGGGCGGTTTGTGGGAGGATTAATTGGGCGATTTAATGTAATGATGCCAGCGATCAAAACAGAGATTTTTCTTAGATTAATCTAAAAACGTTCGTTGAAACTAGTTTGGGGAAGCTTTTCCTTGCTGGCTATTAAACCAGAGGAACTGTCATTTCTGTAACCTTAGGCTTCTCATGGCATGTGCAGGCAATTTTTCCTTCCATTGCACTCTGTGGTCTCCTGCGCATGTGCTTGGCGATGAGGGAAAATAGAAAGTAGAACCAGAAATTCGAGTCAGCCATGCTGCCCACCATCTAATCTCTTAGCCAAGAGCATTTCGTATGTTAAGCAACATCATCAAGTTGTGTGACGCAGTGCTTTCCCCTTGGTCAGGAAAAGCTACGTACCCATTGCAACATCCTGTTTTGCTGTAAGTGTTTTCCTGTAACGCATTTGAGTGCTAGTGCTGCAGTCGTGCAGAGAAACGGGTAATTGCCTCTTGACTGTGGCCCTGGCATTTGCAGCCATGTGCTCTGATGACGGTCTGTGGATGTTGTTGAACAGGCCTGGGGAGAAACGTGCTGCTGGAGAGCAGCACAGGCCTGGCAGCAGCAGCACCCGTTTCCACTAGCACCTTCCATCTGTTCAGGCAAAAGCATTGTTACTGATCTGCAATATAAAAAAAACCCAAGAGGTTTATGCTTGCTCACATTTGAGGAAAACACCTTGAAATTTTCCATCAAAACCTAATCTCCAGCAGAGTTTCCAGCAAGTTTTACTGCACAGTTGGCACAGCTATGAATTTGAGTGTGGCTGCCTACAAACATAAATAATCCGTCTTCATACATCCTGTAGTCTTCTCAAAAGTGGTGCCTTTCAGTTAACACGCTATAAATGGGACATCATTAGCCAATAATTTCCTTGGTTGTTATTTTTTCTGGTCTTAATTACTAGCAGGTATTAGACTTCCTAGCTGCTCATGGGGTCTACTGCTGTAGAGCGGCTCTGTATAGCCTACTTCCATGGTCTTTTTGCCATGGCAAAAGGAGTGCTGCACTCACTCCAGCAAAAGGTCCCTCAAAAATGTTTTATTTGACAAACAAAAGCAAGAACAACAAGTCACGACAACTTCAGTCCCATCTCCCTACCCCCTATTTATTACCTGTCTCAGGCCGGGTTTTCAAGATGTTTACAGCGTTGGGAGTACAGAGGTATAAATCTCTAGCTAGGAAAAGTGTCCAGGGAATTCAGAGCCTGTGGCCAGTTTCCTTCAGAAAAGGACCCTTTCCCTCTGAGGCAGGGCCTTATGTAGATGCTTGTGGTGAGCCTTGTGTGCTTCAGTATGCTTTTTTGTTAAACAAACAAGCCCCAAACAAACAAAAGGCATGCCCAGCTGCCTTCTTGATCTCTCAGCAGGACCATCCTTCAGATACACTGAGTTATTACAAACATCCTTATGTTTGTAAGTAAAGAAGTGTTGCCTGTATTCTATAGACTGGAAACTGAGGCACTGAGGTCAAGACAACAGCATGGATCTCTATCTAGATGTTTAATTCCTACTGAAAGTGGTTAGGAACATGAGTGAATTCCTTTTATTACCCAAGTCCTGCAGAGCTTGCATAAAAGTACGTAAAAAAATTCAAGAGCTGCAAAGAAAGCTAGCTCTCCATAATATTGTCTTAAACCCAAGATGCGTTTGTTACTCACATACTGTGGAACACCTAAACTTTGGTGCTAGCATTTTAAAAATAAAGCTCTATAATTGCTGCAGTTAAGGAACCGAACAAAACTAAGGAAATTAAAAAGCAAGGAAGTTTACCTCTGTGTGACTTGTTAATCAGGAATTTCTGAAGAGTAAATACTAAGGAGGAATTAACAAAATATGGCAAAATCCAGCTTTTAAGTTCTTATGTTACCTTCTTCAGTCTAAGCCAACTTCTGAACACTGCCTGAATTTAGATGGGGGTTGGCGAGTTTATTTATTTATTGGTTGTGTTTGCAGTGTAGACAACTGATGTAATTGTGGTATTGACAATACACAATCAGAGTTTTAGCAGAAAATCTGCAGTAAATACATATATGGGTGTGTGTTCATAATGTTTAACAATTTTACTTGGCTGCTGAGCAGAATAATTTACAATTAAAGCAAAAATAACTTATTTTTTTTAATGTATATTTCAGACAGGTACTGGCAAATTACTCAATATAGCCTGTAGACTAATAAACAGTATGACTGTTCCAGGTGCAAACCCTAAGGACCAGGTGATTTCTTACCTCTGGCATACTACCTAGTGCTTAACTTGGAGGAGGGAGTTGTACAGTGCTGCAAGGGGTTTAACTTCTGTTCCTTACTTGACAAGGATTCAAAAACATGAACCAAAGAGTTGTTACAAAGTTTTAACAATCTCAGTGATTGTCTCCTTTTAGTTTACTTTTTGATGCTAAAGAAAGATTCCATTATTCAGGGTTGGAGTAAACTTAGAGTATGTCACCTCAACTTTCAAACCAGCTAAACGTCCAGTGCTTTCTTGCACACAGAGATAGTAAATAAAGACAGGTGCAACACCGCAGGGCAGGAATTTTACATCCGTTTGACAGATTGACAGTTTAGGAAATGCAAAAATTTCTCGTCTGCAGCCTCCCCCTCTCCTGGCAGCGCAGCCTGACCCTTACGGGTGCCGGCGGTGCAGGAGGCGGCCAGGCCGGGGTAGGCCAAAGCCTGCCCTGCACCGCTCCCAGCAGCTGCCGAGCACCCAGCCCGCACCCCCGCTGCCCAAAAATCGCTTTGGCGTTACAGACTTCGTCAGACAAGGCTGACGTACCCGTGCTGAGGGCCCGGGCATACGTGTGGAATCTCCCTCTTGCTAGAAGAAACTTACAGTAAACGAAAGCCACAGAAAGACGTCACCCTGAAGTACACAGTGGAGGCTACACACATTCCAGAGATTTTTACCCAGCCCTTGAAGGAAATAGGCTATTTTTCCCCCATTGTTTCATTCCTCTGGCACATTTTCCTTGGACTACAGGTTTCTGAACAGTACTCAGTACTTCTTGTAAGAATACCTTTGTTTGTTTTCTTTTTTTTTTTTTTTTTTTTTTTTTAACTGACATAGTTTGGCAACATTCAGCCTGGGTATTGTTTGTAACTTTTTGGTGGCTTGAATGTAAATTATATTTAAGCATTTTTCCACAGAGGAAACATAAAAATGACTAACAACTGAAAATGAAATTGCTGAGATTCTTGTACGTGAAGCTCGGAGTCTGAACGTATGAGCTGCTTCATCTTACCCTTTAGAAAGAGGAATCTGCTTCCCACAGTACTTGCCTCCTGTTACTTACAATGATGTCTAGTTTCCTGGACCAAAGTGGAAACATCTGAAGGAAATCTTCTCCCTCCTGCAGTTTTTCTGATGCACCTCTTCAGGGTGAGCAGCAAGAGCCTGGATGCATGGCAAGGAGCAGCCAGAGAGCCCCAGTCCCACAGGTCTGATCCTGCCTTTGCCCCTGCTCCCACCTACAGAGCTGAAAAAGGAGGAAAAAATGCTGCTCTTTCTAAGAAGCTGTGCCTCGCAGCTGGGGGGGGTGTGGTGTAATCAGTGTAGGGTCACTCCCCAGGCTTGTTTGACATGTTCCTTTGCAGATATGTGGGGTTCTTTATGGTGCCTGGTTTTGAAGAGGAACAACTTTGTTGGCTTGCCAGAAGGCATGGGATATTGTTAATTCTCCCAAGTGAGGCTCGAGTTATAACAAGTTCCCAGGGGTCACTGATGTAAGGGAAAAAATTTGATGCCTGACCTAGAGGAAGATTAAATTACTCCTTCCTGATTTATAGAGGGTACTCCTCTTACCTCCAACACAGTCTCTGGAGTTTTTCTTTCTGGGCTGGGATTTTGCCTCCCCACAGAAGCAGCATAAGATTCAGTCCCTCTAAATTACCCAGGGGCATGAATCAGCACCTGCAATGCTGAATGGGCTTGAAGGCACTAGGAGTCTTGCCAAGGACTTGAGAACTAGAGAGCTTCCATTAAAGCTTTTAATTATGTGTTTAATGAAAAGATGACATAGGGCTTTTAAAATGGGGCTGAATTTGTTAACTGCTGTATCTATGCTCATTGATAAAGATGCCTAGCTGCTACTGTATAATACACATTAGAAGCCAGTCTTCTTGCTGTTGCTGTGTACCTGCTTCACTCGTTTTTGTAAATTAATCCTAGAGGTCTGAGGTTAAGGCATACCAAAGCACCTCCTAGTCTTCCTCCATTGTGGTATAAAGTAGGAACAGAAATTGTCTTCTGAAACAAAAATATCAAAGTTTGACAAAAAGTTTCAACTGGTTAAACTCTGGTTAGGTGGACTTTATTGTAGTAGGATGGATCATAGTCTTATTTCTATAATGCTACTACTTCATTGTTGATTAACATAAAAACTCAAAGACTCAGGGTTAAGTTTTGCAGTTATATATAGTTGATCTTTAATTTTCTTCTGCACATTTAGTTTTTCAGTTCATTGCAAATAGATTTTGATCACTGTTTGCAAAGTTGTTCCTAAAAGTTCAGAAATGTCTTCATTTAATAGGATAAATACAATTTACTGAGGGTCAGGAAAAAAACCCCATATTTTATAAAGATACTAATGGTTTGTGTGGGCCTCCGTTATGGACACTCAATAGAGATGGTTTTATTTTGAGGAAGTGCTGAACACCCGCTT